GACCTAAATCCTCTGGACTGTGCTTTGGGCCGAAGGGTAGCATGGGAAAAGTCATAAGTTGGTTTTTTGCATGATAAATGGATTTTTGTTCGAGGAGTTCTCAGTCCAAGATATATAGAGATTATTGTGGGGCTTTTCGATACCTTTTCATGGATATAAAGAATCGAAATCGGAATTACAATGAAGAATTTATGGACTATCGAAGTTGGAGGGTTTTTAGGTTGAGCCTAGTACGTTGGGCGTACAGCGTGTACGCTGGGCGTACTAGGCGAGGGTTGATCGCAGAATTGAACCTGGTACGTTGGGCGTACTAGGAGTACGCGAGGCGTACGTAGGCTGATGTCAAACCGTAAGTTTTAGGGTATCACCTAAATTTAAAGGCATTAACTCACCCTTAGGCCTCCCATAACCAGCCTCCACTCCTTCCAATTCCTAATTTTGAGTGTATCCTTGGTGAGTGAATATATGGAAGCTTGGTGGTGACTTTGGTGGCTTTTTGTTGAAGAAGAAGACTAGTGAAGAAGGAGGGGTTGCTTGCAAACTTTTGGATCGAGAAACTACTCCATTTGGTGCATCTTCTAAAGCTATAAAGTTCATATCTTGATGAGTTTTCTTTTAGATCTCCATAGATGGTTCTTTCATGAACTTTTGTCCCAAATCTTGGACCTTTGTGAGTATGGAGTACTACAGGGCTTATTAGTTGTCCTTTCAATCATTTTAGGTCTTGTGGATTCATCATAAATGGTTAAATAATGGTCCCTTTCTATCCATGCAAGATCTTGGTAGTGTTGAGTGTGGATTAAGTTAGAGTTTCAAGGTTTAAACTCTTTCCAGCCATACAAAGGCTTAAAGACTTTGACTTTTTTGGTTAAGACGTTATTTGGGATTAGATCTGAGAAGTGGACTTAGTGGCTTAACCATTTAAGTCCTTAATGATGAGTTTAGGTTGTTGTGAGTACGCTGGGTGTACCCAGCTCATGCACAGCGCGTACTGCCCAAAGGTGGCGTACGTTGGGCATAGATCGAGTATGCAGAGCGTACTCAGATTGTTGACCGCCATTGACTTTTGTTGACTTTTGGGTTTTAGGCCATAATTGGACTACTAAGGTTTTTGGTCTTATTGGGTCGTTAGTTCTTTTTGACTTTGGGTCATTGTTAGGCTTTGGGCCTATAGTGGGCTTTGGGCACCATTTCGGATTTCGGCCTATTGTAGGCTTTTGGGTTTCTTCGGACAGGGCCCGATTGTGGTTTGTGACCTGAGTATTAATTCGGATACTGCCTGATGATATTTAGTGCGGAGGTTCCCCGGACTAGTAATTCGAGCATTTATCTGGTTGTTTTAGCAGTTTGAGGTGAGTCTTCTCCCAATGCTCGTGAGTCGAAGGCACCAATGTCGGCTCACTAAATTATATATGTAGGATGCTAGTTGTCTTTGTGACTCTTGCATGTTTGTATGAGCCTATATGGTAGAATAGTTGTATCTGTGATGACCAGCTAGGTCTAGCTGTTATTATTGCGTTATGTTGTTCATATGTGACTGAGACAGTTAATAGTCTCTAGGGTTGCTGATAACCCATTGGACGTTATGTTAGCCCACTGAGACTGCTGATAGTCTCCAGGGTTGCTGATAACCCACCGAGCGTGCTGTTAACCCACTAGGACTACTGATAGTCCCCAAGGTTGATGATAACCCATAACTGTTTATTTGTGATGTGCCGAGTGTGGTATTTTGGGGAACTCACTAAGCTTTGTGCTTACGATTTGTGGTTTAAATGTTTTAGGTTTTCTTATAATAAAGGAGGGGCACGACTCGATTGCATCGCATGAATGGGACCTGTGTACATGATAACTTTTAAATTATACTGTGATAAATGTCTTAAGATATTGTAGTTGTGATTTGAATAAATACTTAAAGTTTTTAATCGCAACTTTTGGGTTGAAATTTGGGGCGTTACATTTTTTGTTTAATTACAATTTATATTAGTGTTAAATTGCAAGGCTCCACTATACCCACCCCATCCATTTACTCTCCTTTCTTATCTTTCCCTCCACCACCATTCATTTTGTTGCCCTTCACCACCACCATTCACCATTTTTTGGTAATTCGAATGTAAAATAAATATTGCGGAAAGTAATTTCCTTGGGATACGGTTACAAGAGGTTATTGAGTCATTGTCCCTTAACTGTCATTGCAAAGTAGAGAAACTCAATTGTCTTTACGTTAGAGAGGGTCAAGGATTGTTGCAGAGCATATTGGATCTCGACTAATGGGTTCGTCGGCTCTTCTTCGAGAAGAGAGTTTAGAGGTGTTTGTGAAGCTCACGAGTTCCGGTAGTTATCCACTTTAATCAGCGGGGTAATTATTAACTCGTTATGGGCATAGGGAAAACGATGGGTGTGGGGATTTCACTATTGCCTCTACTCCCGTGCAGTTGCTTACGCCCCTATCCACATGTCTAATGCTTTTGTATTAATTTTGAGTGTCAATAATTTAAAGATTAATTTGTAAGAAAGACCTCAATATTTATAATTTTCATTTGACATTTATCTACCATATTTTGTGAGAGTGTGAGACATTTAATCAAGGTGTATGAATGAAACTAACTATTATGAATGCCTTCTTTTTGTTTTCTGCAAAAATGATCATTTTTTCATATATGGGTCATTTTTGAACTTGTTCTTGATATTCCAGACTAACTAAAAATATATAATGTGTGTTTTTTTTCTCAATTGCAGTATATTTTTTTACCAGCCAACCCTCTTTTCTAATGTCAGAAATATCTATTTCAAAGTGTAATATCATTTTTTTCAATCAAATGTCTTATTTTTAACCCTTGTATCATATATATACTTTAGATTTACTATGTTTCTTTAATTTTTCATTAGATTTTAATAAAAAACGAAGTATTTTCTCGAAATTGCGGAATTGTTCATCGGACTTTTGAACTTATTCTTAGAATTTTTGAGTTTTATTTTTTCAAAAGTCATATTTTGAATCGATTAGTTGAAGATTAGTTGAAGATTGGGTGTGGATGGGGGTGGGGATGGGGATGGGGCGGGAGGGGTGGTTGTCGGTGGGTGTGTGTTTATATTTTAGAAAAATATGGAAAACAATAATTATTAGTTTTCTAAAATTTTCAAAGTTGTTTGTAATTTTGGAAAACGGAAAATTTTCATTTTCGGTGAAAATTTTATAAAAATTGTTGAATTAAATTCGTTTTCAAAATTCTCATTTTTTTGGAAATTTTTTCTGAAAAACGACTCAGTTTTCCGTAACTAAATACACCGTGAGTAATTTCCAAACTAGAAAGTATTCGCAGTGGGTTCTTATGGGGTAGCTCTTCGGATCACAAAAACATTGGATTGCTTGGCACAAAATATTGAAACAATGAACTACAAAGAATTGGGTGGTTTGAACATTGGAAGCTTAAAAGCTTCTAACCTTGCTCTCGTTACTAAATGGTGGTGGCATAGACAATATATGGAAGAGGGTTAATAGATCTGTTTACTGGGTTAATTGGAGTTTAGGGGCGATTAGACAGATGGCCCAAAGGAGGTTGTAACGAGCAAAATCAGTCACTTGATTATTGACTTGAAGCCTTTCAAATTGATCTAAACAATCTCTTTACAGAAGCAATGACGCCTTTTTGTAATTTTGCTTAGCTGGGTGCTTTTTTGCTTAACTTGTGGAAAGACCTTCCTCACTTCAATGACCGCAAAGCATATCTCCAACCCATTTCCATTTTTCCTCCCAAAATGGGATAAGTATGTTTCATCTCCAACATACTTTATTTTTTACCTCATTTTTACTCTCAAAAAGTATAATCCTAACATATTTCATTCTTCCAACTTATATAAATTGTCAAACACACTCATTTTACTAATTTGGTTTTAACAAATATATAATCTATATTTTTTTCATTACAGGAATATTAAATAAATAAGATTATATTTATAACACTTAATTATAAGATTTTGTAAAATACGTTATTGTATTTTAAAATTTCAATATGTATTTAAATTTTTATATGAATTTGATAAACAAAAAAACAAACTTTATATTTATCATTAATTAATATAATTTAATACAAAACAAAATATAAGGAAGGAAACAGATGTTTTAGAGGCAATCTCAAGGGCTTTCTTGTGGGTGATTTGGACATATAGGAACAGTTACACCCTGCTCCCGAGTTGTAGCAAAGAAAAGAAGAGAAAAGAAAAGAAAGGAGAGAAAAGAAGAGAAAAGAAAGGAAAATGAATTTGTCTTTTTGTGCTCCCGAGTTGGAGAGAAATGGAAGGAAAGTTAAACATTTTGTTCTTTCTTTTCAAATCCGTCCAAATCGAAGGAAAGTTATGAGGGAAAGTGATCCTTCCACTTCCTTGCTTTAATGAAACTCGGGAGCACCAATTTCTCTTACTTTCCTCTCATTTCCTCCCATTTCCTTTCTTTTCTCTCCTTAAGTTGAACTCGGGAGTGGGGTGTTAGTGTTTAAAAGTAAGGTGAAAGCTCTGCCATGTTGGCTTTCGATGTTAAAGCCATGGCCTTTTTATGGCTTAAGAATATAACAGAGTGGGGAAGGCATATGATTTGGGAATTTTGGGCTGCTAATCCTCTGTATCTCAACATGTAACTTCTAGCTTATTGCTTCTTTTAATAAAGTCTTGCTGTTAAAAAAAACATCAATCAACAGATGCATATAGAATGCTAGTTTGTCAAAATACATATATAATAATATAATGTACCAAAATTAGATATCTTGCATGAGCAGCCGAAATAGCATCCCAAGTGAAAACATAAGCAACAAAAAATATAGCCTAACCCATCAACTGATCATGTTCATCTTTTTGTTCACAACTGAACAAATCGATACAAAATGGTTCTTGATTTAAACTCTTAAATTGGTTCGTCTTAAGAACTTCCATGTTACTGGTTAACATCATCTAATGGAAACAAAGAAGACCATAGAAGCAACCTGAGGTTAATGCCCATGATTTGATGACTAAAACGTGGGCATGCATACTGCCTCGAGATGTTCCTTCATGTGTTGAAGCTCATCAAGAGATGGAGCTTGGTTATGATCGAGCCAATTGGTGGTATAATCAACTGCCTTCTTCATTTTCATCAACCTCTCACCATGCTCCATGCTTTTTATCATATTCTTTATGTCGTATATGCAGTCGTCCAATGCATTGGGTGCAGCTGCTTTCTTCATGTATTCTTGGTCCTCCTGTTTGTACTTGTCAGCATCTTCTATCATCCTCTCAATCTCTTCCTTGGAGAGTCTTCCATTTTCATTGGTAATCGTGACTCTCTTCCTCTTACGGGTGGATAATATCTCTGACGTCACTGTTAGGATACCATTGTTATCTATTTCATAGCTGTTTCTGAACGTTGTAATTCCTTTTGGAGCCGGTGGTAGTCCTGAAAGTGTGTACTTCCCCAACAAATGGTTATCTTTGGATCGTGCTCTTTCACCTTGATACACCCTAATAGTTGTATGAGATTGGTTATCATGACATGTCTGAAACTCTTTTGATTTCTTGGTAGGTATTGGAGTGTTCCATGGGATCACAACACTAAATACTTCTCCTTTAGTTTCTTCACCAATGGACAAAGGAGTGACGTCCAATAATATTAAATCTCGAAAACGTTTATCACTATTACCACTTAACTTTGAGGCCATGACGGCTGCACCATATGCAACAGCCTCATCAGGGTTCAAGCTCTTGCATAATTCCTTCCCGTTAAAAAGTTCCTGCAACATACTCTGGACCTTTGGTATTCTAGTTGACCCACCAACAAGAATCACCTTTTTTACACACGATTTCTTCATCTTTGCATCGCTTAAACATGCATTCACAGTCGCAATACATTTATCGAAGAAACTCATGTTCAGCTCTTCAAATTTAGCTCGACTGAATTTCATGGAAAAATCAATCCCCTCATGCAAGCCATCTATTTCGATGGAAGTTTGAATACTGCATGAGAGAATCCTTTTTGTTTTCTCACAAGCACATCTCAGCCTCCCCAATGCTCTTTTGTTCCCAGTTAAGTCTTTATTCCATCTCCTCTTGAATTCCCTAACACAATGATCCACCATGCGGTTATCAAAATCCTCACCTCCCAAATGAGTGTCACCACCAACAGCTTTCACCTCAATGGTTCCACCTTTTGCAATGGTCAATAGAGAGACATCGAAAGTGCCACCACCCAAATCGAATACCAGCACAGTGATCTTGCGAGTAATATCAGACTTATTGTCAAGACCATAAGCAATTGCAGCTGCTGTAGGTTCATTGATGATGCGAATGACATTAAGTCCAGCAATAGCTCCAGCATCCTTTGTTGCTTGACGTTGCAAATCGTTAAAGTAAGCTGGGACAGTTATCACAGCATCTTTCACAACTTTTCCAAGGTATGCCTCAGCAGTTTCTTTCATCTTCCCAAGAATCATGGATGAAACTTCTTCTGCCGAAAATTCCTTCTCTTCACCTTTGTACGAGACAACAATCTTTGGTGTGTCAGCAGGCCCTTGTATGACCCTAAAAGGCCACAACTTCATGTCTTCCTGCACTTTGGAATCACTGAACCTCCTTCCAATCAACCTCTTAGCATCTGCATATACAAGGTTAATAAGCCAATAGCCAAATATTTTCATTGATATTGAATTGACAAAGTAAAATGCAACAGAAATTAAATTTGGAAACAATCAAGAAGTAGATATAACTAGCTAGATATATATATATATATATATATATATATATATATATATATATATATATATATATATCCCAGTTTCCAACACAATGATAACCAAAGCTCGTGCTTATAGTAAATGGTGTAATGTAATTAAACTGTTCCCAAATAACACCAGTCTTGATGTAGGTACGTAATTTGTTGTTTTCTTAGTTTTTCCTGAAACCCATGCATAGCTAAACCCATAAAACCCTAAAACCTAAAATGGAACATCTGGGCGGTCAACCTTGCTTCAAAGATTAGTTTATAACAAGGATAGAATGCTTCAATGGATTTGATTGTGCTTCAATTTGAAGAAATTTCATTCAGAAACAATCTTCTTAGGATCGGATGACGATTCAAATATATTGAACTCTTTATTACAATTCCTTCGGCTGAATATGGAATTTTCCTATACTTAATCATAATAAGATGAACAACATTTAAGAATAACGAGCAAAAGGCTTACCAAATATGGTGTTAGCAGGGTTCATGGCCACTTGGTTCTTGGCGCCATCGCCGATTAAACGTTCTGCATCACTGAAAGCAACACAAGACGGTGTGGTTCTATTGCCCTGATCGTTGGGAATGATTTGGATGTGATCATGCTTCCAAACGGCGACACATGAGTAGGTTGTTCCAAGGTCAATGCCGATCGCCGGTGCATCGTTTCCTCTTCTGTCCATTGCAGTCAAAATTCAAATTTCAAACTTTAAGTGTGTTTTCACTTTTCACGGTAATACAATACACGAAATAGGCGAAATAAGAAAGTCAGTATAAAATAAGAAAGTCAAACTGTATGATAAAAATTGTATAACATATAGTTGGAAACTATCATATTATACCAATTACAAAGAATAATTAATAAAATAAAATTTAAATTGATATTGTTAAAGAGAATCTGTCTATAACCATCTTTATCTTTACTATCTTATTAAACATATTGTCTATGTCTTGAAAATTAAGAGGTATACATTTTATAACACCATGTACATCTATTAAGCTTACAATGTAAACGTATACACGCACGTATCATTGTAATGTACAATCGTAGCTTCTTCTATGTCTACATGTGGAAAACCCTAATATCCTCTACACACTATCAGCCGTCGTTTCTACCAAATCTATTCCGTCTACCTCCTTACTTTCTTCAATCTCCGATAGGCGTCCGTTACCACCACCCTCGTAAAGTCGTCGCTATCGCCATCCTCCCGACGTTGTCGTTACCTTCATCGGCGTCTGCAGCCCCGCTTCTACCTTATGTCTAGATGAGAAACCCTAATTCTATCTCGCTGCCACCATCAACGCCACCATCGGACACTGTTAACTGCAAGCCCTAACCCTAGAGTGGCCCCACCATCGCCACCCGACATCGCACACCATAAACCAGAAAAAGCCCCCATCATGAACCGATTCCTCATTCCTCTTTCTTCTACACCACTATTTCACCCATAGCGCACCACCACCAATATTATGCCATCACACCACCAAATATTTCTATCTCTGTCTCCATCTGCTCTCGCACTACTTCTCCTGCGATGAACCCCTACACAGTCTCCGCAAATTTATTGGATCTGGTAAGTTGTTTGTCAGTTTGCTAAATGATTCTGGTATTAAATGGAATGAGTATGCCAACTTAATTAATCTCTCCAAGCACACATACTGCGCTCTGTTCTGATGAAAAATTTATGATTGTTCTTAATTCTCACCTTCTTCTTTTTCTACTGATTTTGTGTAAATTGGTTGATGTTGTTGGTTGTAATGTGTGGGAAGATCTATTGTAACCTAAGAGGGTAAGAGGCAAGAAAAATATATTAGCATTAGATGACAATCTGTCAATGTTTGAAAACTTTGATTCTTTGCATTTGTTTATTAGGCATTTGGGGAGGAAAAGAGCAAGGAAAAACATTTCAAACTGAACTTATTTTCCAGGCCATGGGAATTTTACCTGTGATCATGTCTGCGAGAGTTGGAATCAGAGAGAGCTGGTAAGATGGTTTTGATGAATGTTTTGCTTATACAAATTACAATTTTCATACGGTCGTTGAAAATCGGGTTAGAAATTTTACCTCTTTAACTATCATATGTGTGTTAAGTCTAAACTCTAAAGTGTTATTTTTTCAAAACTAATTGGTTGATTTTATCTTGTCGTTACTTTTGGCTTGTTTAAAACAGGGGAAAATGAGTTGCTTGATGATCAATGATATCGATGCGGGTCTTGGTAGATTTGGTGAGCTACAAATCTGATTGGATGAAAATAATGGTTGACTCTTGTACTTTCCCTTTGGTCAATTTAATACTTTAAATATGTTCATGAAATAATCAAACCAACATTTTAGATCCTTTAATTAATTATAGTTATACTATGGTTGTTCATAAATGAAATGAAAATTATTTTATTTGTTAATTGTTATTGTTATTCTGGAAACACTCAAATGACAGTGAACAACAAAATAGTTGTTGGCACACTGATGAATCCAACAAGAGTTAGCATTGGACAAGATCGGAGGATCGTGAAAACCTTTTATAGTAGTAGTATTTTTCATGCGACTTTATATAATTTATTTAACTATTCACGAGTTTAATTTCTTAAAATTGTGGAACAGGCAGCCTAACATCGACGATATCATGAATATTGTTTACAGAATGTACGAGAAAGATGGATTATCAAAGAACGATGTTATAAGCATCGTGAAAACCTTTCCTAATCAAGGTATGTATATTATTTCACAATCTTTACCATATTTTATACGACCATTTTATATGATCAGATTTTGAAAAAAAAACAATTTTAGTACTTCTTCTGATCGTATGTTTTCTCTTCACTTGATTTGAAATTGGGGTTTGAACCATACTGTTGCATTCATCATCCGTTATGTTTTGATAATTATTTTGTTTTGTTACTAACGTTTGATCCTTTTTCTATTTCAATTTAGGTTATTTGGATTCGAATGAAATGACAAATATGAAAGTTGGGAAGTACTTGCTGTTTTTTCTCTGTTTTAATGTGATCTTTCATACAGTGGTAATGCATTGAATATTTAACTTAATCTGTTTGATTTTACCCTTTTGTTAGGGTTTACGCCTTTTTCTCTGTTTTACTCATTCCACTTTAAATTAGTACTAAATACATCAATTTTCTTGCTTATAGATTTCTTAAGATCCACATACTTGTCCTGCAAATCTTGATGGTGATTGTGATTTGGACAATTTGGCTGAATGGGAAGGGGAATTTTTTCCTGGGCTTCCCAAAATCCAATACGAGGTAAGCAACTTAATAACCATAATCCCCATTCGAGTTTTTGAAATCTGGAATTTGCGATTAATCATTCATGGTTTATGTTAATTGTTTCGTGTAGGGACCCAAAAGTGAAAATGTAACATCCCCAACATACGGTCCAACAATTTCGTTTTGATTTATAAATAAAACTATAGTAATCCAAATCATCTCATAAAACATAAGTGGTAATATCTCAAAACATCATATCAAAACAGTGTATCAAAATCACATGTCCAAATATCAGAGTAAATCATCACAGGCTAAATGTTGTGGTGTGTGTGATGCAGTCATCCCGAGCTCTTCCCCTTACTAGCGGAAGTACCTGTAACCAAAACTGAAAACTATAAGCACGAAGCTTAGTGAGTCTCCCCAAACTACCACATACCATACACATAATCACATAATAACATACATTAGGCCTTTCCCGCTACAACGGGCCCCTCCCAGCATCGGATCGAAGTCCGGCATCGGGCCCTGCCCGACATCAGACCGAATTCTGGTATACATATAACATATCAACAAGCATATAACATAAACACATAACATAAACATATAAACATTCATCGGGCTTGCCCCGACATCGGACCGAAGCCCGGAACATATAACACATAACATATAAGCTAAACATTCCTCGGGCTTGCCCCGGCATTGGACCGAAGCACGGAACATATAAACATACACATGCAAGAACCACGAAGACATCAAGGATACAAACATTCCCCGGGCTTTCCCTGGCATCGGACTGAAGTCCGGAAACATACAACCTACATCGGGCTAACCCCGACATTGGACCTAAGTCCCGCATACGCTAACATACATAAACAGACCGGCATTGGTGCCTTCAACCCGTTCCTTTTGGAGGAAAACTCACCTCAAATGTCGAGTGAAGTAGTTGAACGTCTCTGCTCCTGGAACCGGCTCTACTCACGCCCTATACAAAACAACCCCTTAGATACAATTCCTTACATCAAGACCCCTTCATGGGTCAACCTTGGTCAAAGTCAAGGTCCAAGTCAAATTCAACGCTCAGTCAAAGTCAAAGTCAACAATCCGAGTTGACTCAACTCGTCGAGTCATCCTCCTGCCTCGCCGAGTTCCCTTGCTACTCGTAATCGTGGTAAAACGAGTTAACTCGTTGAGTCCCTTCACCGACTCGTCGAGTTCTACCTTGTACAGAATCGGGACAAATCGACACAACTCGTCGAGTCCCTCTCTGGACTCGCCGAGTTCCTTAGTCCGTTGGTACATCTTAATAGATTAAGCCCCTACTCTTCAGATCTAAGCTGCTTACTTCTCATATACACTGAAAATGTCCTTTTAAGGGTAAAGTTTCCAACTTTACCCATTAATACCTTTACTTAATGGGTTTATCTCAAACCCTAACTCCTTAGGACCTAGATCTTGGTCCACAAGCCATCCATACTCCAAACTAAAGCTTACAAACAGAGATCTAGACCCCAAACACTACATGAACACGTAAAGCTTCCACATTTCTCTACATGCATGGCCTTTTGGAGCTTAAAAGGCCAAAATGACACCCTATGGGTTGCATAGGGGCTTCAATGGCCATAAAGTTTGCACATTTATGCCATGAAAGACCTCCATGATTCCAGATCTGAAGGTTTACTCACTTGGGACGTCCATATCCCAAAGATCAAGCTTATTGGACCAAAAACCCAATAAAGTGGTAATAACGAGATCTAAGAAGCTACTAAGCAAGTTTGAGACTTGATTACCAAAAAATGATGAGAATGAAATGGAGTCTCTGGATCCACTAGCTTCTTCCTGAATCCCCAAGCTTCTCCTTCCTTCACAAACTTCCAAACACACCAAGATTCACTCAAAAGTGGCTCATAAGCTCACAAATGCATTAGGGTTTCTGAATCTAGGGTTTGGGACTTGGAGGCTGGAAATGAGGCCAGCAAGTGGGGATTAGGATGCTTAAATAGGGTGCAAAACCCCAAAATTAGGGTTTCATCCTGGCAGCCCTAGTCGTCGAGTTGAAGCTATCAACTCGTCGAGTAGGTGAGTTAAAATCCCGCGTCAATTCTGGTTTCTACTCGACGAGTTTAGGGATCCCAACTCGTCGAGTTGCACTACATAAATGAATAAATTATAATTAAATGCGTACCAGGAACCAGACGTTACAAAAAATCCGCTGGCGTATAAATGGTATAACCCCAATGAGGAGATTATTGGAAAGGAAGGGCACTTTGCGAGGGATTTTCGCCAGCCGGCCCAAGTACCGAGCACCAAGATTTGCTACCATTATGATCAGGTTGGCCATGTGAAGGTCAACTGTACATTGCTCGCCACCAAGCCGACGCAGTCCCCGATGCTAACCACTCTGAGGATCACCAATGGGCAACAAGGAAGGCGGGGCTCCCGAGGGCTCAAGGCTATGCT